GATAACACAGCAACTATTTATCATCGTTTTTGGTGGCTTAGTCGTCTGACCATGGTAACCCGGGTTTTTTCGATTTGTTCAAATTTGTCTCACATCCATTCCGATCGCAGGGGCCATGTTCAATCCGGTCGTTACGCTCTATTGTGCACGTGCTTGTTTGCGCGTTGAGGTGTGTGTGTGCTTGAGAGTTAGCACAGGCTCCATTCACAGTTTATAGTGATTCATCCGTGATGTACGAGTTCAAGGAAGGATTCGTCGTGCACGTGCGCAAAACTGACAAATCAAAACGACCTCTTCGGCACATCTCGTGTACGGAACAAAGGCAATTTACTCTAGAAAGTCCTATCCAACTGTTTGGACGTGGTTCACTGCTTAGATAGACGACTTGACGCACAACGTGTTAATGAAATATGAAATAAAAACTGGAAACCACTCTATAGCTGTTTCAATCTAGGTTGGATATCGTTGTTTATGCAAATATGCTTTCTAGTGTATCGTCTATAGGCAAAACGAAATATTTGCTGCGTGATCTCTTACATTCCACCGGCCAGATCCTGGGCTCAACACTCCTTTGAATCCATGGATGTCATCTGCTGATGACGCTGTACAAGTTTGGAGCAGTTACAGTGTTTTCAGCTCACATTTTTTCTGCATTGTATGCGACGAATTCGGTTCTAGATTCAAATTAAATGTTTCACTGCCTCCTTATTTGATGGAAAATCATTGGCTGCATATATACGATGATCACCCTGAATAAAAACTAACGCCTTATAGAATCCGCCGTCCATCCATCTAGTCACCGTGATTTCCGGTGAAACCGAAACAAAAACGGGCAACTTATCTCTACGATACTAGGGCCAGATAGAGCTCTCGTTCATCTGCACTTTTTCTTATCAGGCTTGAGCTCGATTCTGCTACATACGTATGCATATACATATGCAATCTTTTAGCCATGACCTTTGGTCCTTTGATCTCAACGCAGTCGTACCGCTATAAGCGAGTTCGATCAAAATATTCTGAGGAAAAACAAAATTGATAAAAATGGATGTTGCAAAACTTGATGAGTAGTGAGCAGGTAGAGTGATCATATACGGTGAATTTGACCGTAGTAATAGTATCAAATGCAACATATACATCAAGCAGATAAGAACGAATCGGTTTCGAGGGTTTCGTGATGAAAGCACAACAGATTTTCCTCGTTACACTGACAACAATGCTATTTGTATCCTGGTCATTCGTAACGAATGTTCGCACTTAACCACTAGGTTAAAATAAACAAACGTTCAGCCTAGTCACCCCGCATCTCGCATTGATTGGAAAACATTCAAACGATGGACCCGTATAATCAAACTTTTTGACAAGTCCTGTATGATTACAGTATTTTCTGTGAGCCCGTTTTTAATGTACTAATAATCAAATCAATTAAAGCCTTAAAAAGTTGACTTGTTTGAGTTTATTCAAAGCCTATTCCCGTGAATCAAAAACGATTGTATGGTGCGAGAAAGCCAACTTGGTAATTATTATGTAATTGTCCATCCATAGCTTTCCGAAGAACGGGCGCACCGTCAAATATAAAGACTGTTGGGATACTTGATTGCTCGCTATCAATCGAAACCGAACAGCTTTATAGGAACTAATTAAAAATGTGCCAGACACTCCTTGTGCCGCATTATTATGTTGAGATATCGGCGATAGGTATGCTCAAGTTGGATCTCGTACTAGTCGGGGGCTTCGAACTGCTTTACAACCCACTTTTGTGGTTTCATATCTGCGACAACATCATATGTTTCTTTCCACAACCGATTGGTTATCTTCCGGATCGACCAGTAATATCCATTCAGCCATCGATCACAGGGTGACTTGCTGATTGATGTCCCTGGGAAGTCCTTCTCAATCCTGTCCTTTAATTGCTTCAGAGTGCCGGTTGGGTTCTGGTTGATCACATCACACAAAAGTTTGATGAACTCGTCATTGAACCTCATCTTATGAGACCCAGGGTTGAGAATTATTTCCCGATCCGTAGCTGCAAGGGAACGGTATGTTTTGATCTTGTTGCTTTTTTCTTTTCATTTTTACTTCCTTTTATTGAATATACATAGATACAATTTTCAGGAAGGGGGAAGCGGCCAATCAAAGGGCTACCATACAATACACAGAGAATGGAGAAAGTCAGGCCGTGGTGGTGGGATTTGAACTCACATCCACGGGGCGATAATTTGGTGACATTATCACCGGGCCACCACCGCCCGGTGGCCTTTGGCGATTTCATTCAAGTCATCACCTTTGCATGTACATTCAGTCACTTACAGTCAACCTTCCTCATTGGTATTTTTGCATCCAAATTAACGCTGTCCATATTGTTAGATACCTACAGTGGTACACGATTAAGTATTTTATTGAGGGTTTTGCCTAAAGTTTGGTGGGAAAGAATGTAGCTTCAACGATGGACGCAACCGAATAAGAATCAATTCGGGCCGCGCCAGTTCTTAATATTCTATTTCAGTTTTTCGTTCTTCACACTGCCCGCCCATTAATGGAATACACTCACGAGAGATTTTGCATGTACATGCTCGAATAGAGTTGGAAACAATGCTTTTCCGTCTATCCAGATACATGCCTAAGTAATAATGATGATGAAGCTATGGTTACAATTGTTTTCTGTATTGCTTGGATCTGATGCGTTGTTTTCAGGGTAGTGGACAGTGGAACAATCACATGTCCTGTGCTAGCCACAATGACGGTTCACTTGATAGTGTAATATCTACTGTTTCAGTTTCTTTCTGTTCGCTTGTGCATAGTGTTTGTTTGTTTGTGTGTGTTTGTGAAGAAGCAGTAAATGTATGGTTTGGTCATTTTGAAACTTTGATAGATTGATAGGGTTTGATAAGACACTCACCGGTGTCCATGGTCCAGCCCCCCCTTCACAAATAATGCGAACCACTGATTCTTTGCTGTCTTCGTCGTTGCTCACATAAGCACATGTGGATAGATAGCCATCTGGCGATTTGTCACGTCCTACCACCTC